TAGAGCCGGTATCGATCAACAATTTTAGTGGTGAATTATGGATTTTGATGAAAGGTGATACCCTCTCATTGGTGCTGAATGATTCAAATACTACGTGAAATCCGGTGGATTGGTGGTTTCGGAAAAAAAATCCGATTCCTCTCGATTCTCATATAAGTCTTCGAAATTATAGCCTACAGCACCGGAATAAAATTCTCCCAGTATTGCTCTATTATTTCACGAACGTGGATCATTTTGTCATGGGTTCTCAATCCCTATCACAGTCGTCATCTTCACAAGGGTCTGCTGGATTATTATCTTCACTTAATAGCAGCATAAGTAGTAGCAAGATAACCAGGAACCAATCCTAGAATGAACCAAGAGAGACTTTTTGAGGGGGGGGGCAGTAACTGAATTTTGCGGAATTTTGCTAACTCATTTTTAAATTTTTCTATTTTCATTTTGGACAAAAAATGAATAATAGGAAGGACGGCGCGGTGGTCTTGCGTTGTCTTTCCATTTATTTACAATATGATTTTCTCATCAGTAGGACATTTCTAAATTCCGAGTTTGAACTGGAAATACTAATGGGATACAAACAATTCCATTTTCAATCAGCTATGAGTCAGAAATTCAGAGTATGTAGTTGGAAATGCTGGGTCTGTACAGAGTATTTCCGAATTGAAACTTGATATTTCCAACTAACTCAAAATTTGGAATTTGATTTTTTCGACTTCAAGCATTAAATTCTGAACTCATCAGTCGGAAAATTCGAGGTACGAAATCGAAACGTTCTTTCGTGAAACCTTCCCAAACTCAATTTGCCAACTCGCCTAGGATTGGGAGGGGGGGTTACGTACACCACGATCACTCTTATGTTGATCTTATAACGATATATTGATACATATCGATTTTTCAATACATATCGATATATAGGGTATATGCAGACATAATTGTTATTATTGTCGTCTTTGATTATCAGGGGTGGGGGGGGGGATGAGCCTTTTTTATGTTCTTGTAAGTATAACTGACCATAATAAAACAGTCATCATTTATCTGATCGTAGATTCAAAATGACTAAAAAATCGTGTATAGGAACTTCTATTGTAATACTAGTAAAAGTTTTTATTCACAACCATATATGTAATGTTGTCATTACTAACGTCATTGAAGGTTGGGAAGTGTCTCATTACATACCTCTTCTTCCCGCCCTCACTTCCCGCCCCTCAATAGTTACTGCCCTCACTCATGTAATAATTCAGGTATGTTCAGAACGAAACATAGATTTATCAATTTTGATCGAAATATGATGGTTGCAAATAAAATAGTATAATATACTATAATATACTATTTCGAACTCTTTTTTTTTATGTTCATTACGAAAAATTATTGATCGTTCTGTTGTTATTTCATAAATTCAAATTCATTAGTAAAAGCAAATATGATTCACTAAAAATCTTTTCCACTCCGTTTTCAACAAGTTCCTGTACAATTTTGTTAGTTGATTCCGAATCTACGATCAGATTAATGCTAATTGTTATACTAGGTCAGTTATACAGTGTCCATAAAAGGTCTGTACAAAATCTTAGCACATAGTCCTGAGGTCAAAATAACCGATGATTACTTTTGTTCGGAATTGCTCCGTTTCCGAGATACAGGGTCGTAACAAAAGAGTATTTTGGAAAATCAGTTTTTGCACTACCCATTCATTGACCGAATTACATTCACAAAGATAACAGCAAACATTCATTTTTTATTCAAAATAATTCAAATATTCTGGTGCGGCATTGAACACTCGAAACCGAATTATCTCGAAATCGGCATATTTCAGCGAATTTTCACACGAGATCCTTTTCTGCTTAGAAATATGCAAACAATTATTTCATCAACGAAAAAAGTGAAAGGGTGCACAGAGAAAAAAGTTAATATGGCCCTTCTTAACTATAAGAAGTGCATTGGTAAGCGCCCTCTAATGGCCACAGTGAAAATGTGTCGGTATTCGGGTTCCGCATCCCAAAGATCCTCTGGCTGCCTCTGGCTACCAATTTTTGAAGTGATACGATCAAAAATTCTGAAAAGAAAACGATTTCTATATATTAAATACCACCCTGTATCTCGTAAATGCAATTTCGGACTGAGATGAGTTGCTTCAAATCGGCTCATTGAGACTTCTGGAATATGTGCTGAGATTTTGTAGAGACCTTTTAGGGACACCCTGTACTTACAAGAACATGAAAAAGAGTCATTCCGGTTCTGATACGAATGTATTCTTCAGTTTTTTCAGGTTACGAGAGTGTTTCATTAAATATTTCCACGGAGTTATCAAAGGGAATAACAACAATTATGTCTTGGTTTCGCATATATTTATCATATTTTCATTTCTGATGATATTTTAGCCGAGGAATAATGAAAAAAAAAATTCATTAAAAAATCACGGAATGACTGAAATTGTGCCAGAAACATTCTCAACAAGTTCCCATAGTATTTTTTCCGTATATTCATAATAATACCTCAGATTTTTGATAATTATTATACAAGGTGAGTTATTCTCACGATAATTCAACATAGGAAAAAAATATATTCAGGTCCTGATATTGCTTTCTTTCAGAAGGCTACTTGTTGAAGCCCTTGAGTTTGATTCATGTACTGCATTTAATATGGCACATTGAATTATTGTCAACATCCACAAATCACCCTGTATGTCAGTAACGAAGAGGCTTTGGACATTTGCATATGGCATTCTGCAATTATATTGACACCCTGTGTATCGAAGCCCTTGAGTTTGATTCGTGTACTGCATTTAATATGGAACATTGAATTATTGTCAACATCCACAAATCACCCTGTATGTCAGTAACGAAGCGGCTTTGGACATTTGCATATGGCATTCTGCAATTATATTAACACCCTGTGTATCGATATATATCGATACATCGATTTATATCGATATATCGATATTTTTGCACAGCCCTAGTATGTAGTAACTATTAATGAAATTCACATTCATAACACATTGTTATAATAAATAAAACAATTAACTTACTTTAGTTGGGTACACAAAATTATAAAAATCAGTCGGTAGTAACTCAATTTCTCAGTTTTTTACAAATTCTCCTCACTGAAGTTGGTATAAAAATATATTTTCTCACAAGAAACTCGAAGTACTATTTAGTATTAATGAAATTTGCTCATGTGATAATATTCGGTTGATTAAAATAATTATGAAATAATAAAAAATAAGTCGATCATAGCTCAATCTCGGTTTCTTGCAAATTCATTTAGCCAAAGTTGGTAGTTGCAATATTCTTTTGCAAAGAACTCATCAACTTATAGAATGAATTAGACATTATTCGAAGCTGAATGTTATTTTACCTATGAACGTTAAATATTTCCAGTGTAATTTCATATGCTCCTTCCCCCAAGGAGGAGGAAAAAAATTCCGGAAATTTGTTTAGTTGCTATGGCAACGATACAAAATACAGGCTTTCAATTGGTCGAAAATGATAGGTGTGAGGTTTTTGGTGGAATTTGGACGGTAGACTATGCCCAAATCAAGAGTACCAGTTATAATCATTTCACTCTATTATTTGGATCTCTACCGATATCTGGTGTGGTTCCAAGCATTAGGAACATCAAAGTGCAGACTAATCAGCATTTTTGTGGAGATTGATTTGGATACAGAAAAGTTGAACCGTTCAAGTCTTTAAAAGTTGATTCCAGATATTAGAGAGATAAGGTCAAAACATAATCTGAATTTACAACTGTTCTAAGCTATCAATCGTTTTTTTTCTCGCCTATACAGGCTGTACCGATATTAGCCTGCCCTACTTCAGTAGCAGATTCTTCGGCCAAAAATAGGAAGAAAAATTCCAATAAACATATGAGTCGAAAAATGGCTCGGTCTGCGAAACGCCATGTGATTCAATCCGGTACAAGAACTAAACTCTCTTTGCCCAATGCAGTGGAAATGATATCATTTAATGATCTAATACATAACGTTGCCAATTTTCAAATCATATACCCGGAATTAGCCTGCCATACTTCAACAGCAGATTTTTCGATCAAAAATAAGGAAAAAAGTTTCTATAAACTTGGGTCGACAAATGCTTTATAAGGGATCTGGAGCCCCTTGAAGATAATCACCTTATTTTTGTAAAACGGTGTGAATTTTAATAATCCGATAAAATTGTCGAAAAATATGCATATAAAAAAGTTTGAGCAATATTTGATGTAGTCCCACCCTGTATTGAATACCCCTGAATGAAGTTTCCAAATATCATTTCCACTGCATTGGGCATAAAAAGTATAGTTCTAGTACCGGATTGCATTACATGGAGGCCGTTGCTCCCTCAGAAGCCATTTTATAACTTATTTTTATTGGAATTTTTCTTCCTATTTTTGGCCGAAGAATCTGCTACTGAAGTATGGCAGGCTAATTTCGGGACACCCTGTAAAAAAATGTATATGACCTCTTTCAACCTATAGATAATAATCCTCTTCAACTCACGAACCTTCTTTGTACCGTTGTTGAATCCCTCTGACTGATTCATGTTGATGGTTTCTTCCGAGGTTTCTTCCATCCTGCTGGAAAAAAGCTAGAAAGCCCTGGAATCATAAATAATCGACAATAACACTTTCGCGATTGGGGATCAACAGGGGATTCACTTGCCTACGTCGAGAACTATGTTATGCATACATGGCAAGCTTCATTTGAAAAATGATTATATTCAATTTACAATAATACTAGCTGTAAATTATAGGGTTTCCAACTTCCATCTTGGTTTGAAATGAATAAGATCAGGATTGAAGCGAAAAAAAGACAAAATTATTACATATCTAGGCATTCAACCACAGCAACATTTTGTTTCACATTTGGGCACTGCGTTGCAATATTGAGCACTTCACTACATTTTTATGCTTATTTAAGACCCCCTAATTTTGATTGGTTCATTATTTCCAAGAGGCCAATCAAATTTGCAACCCCTACATTTATTCTAATTACTGAATTATTTCTCTTGCAGACTTTCCAATGGATAGTTGTTGGACATCTGTGTGGTGGGGAAAATAGAAATACAGAAAAAAATAGGCTCAGGAAAGGAGTGCACATACTTATTGCAACACCTGGTAGATTATTGGATCACATGTTGCATACTAGTGCATTTAAAATGGACAAAGTACGCTGGCTAGTTTTGGATGAAGCAGATCGGCTATTGGATATGGGTTTCAAGAAGGATATAGTAAAGTGAGAAGAACAATGAATTTATTATATTTATATAATTTTTCCACTACTAGCTCAATCTTGCACCATTATGTATGCTGCTGTCTTCACTAAGAAGCCGTTTTTCTTACTGACATTTTCACTCCTACTAATTAATGATAAGAACAATCATCTGTCTTCTTTGAAATGCTTTGAATTTGATTTTCATGAATGATATCACGTAATTCTAAATATTCAAGATAATTCTGTTGCTTCATTGTTCAAGAAATTGTGTTGCCGAGCAAAATCACCAGTCCGTACAGAAAGCTCAATTGAGGTAACAATGAAAGACAGAATTATGAGAGGATATTCAGAACAGAGTGGTATGTATTTTTCTTGGCTATTTCACGTCCAGGAAGCATAGCAAACATTCATTATGAATGAGTGATTCATTCTGAAAAGTACAGCAATAATTATTTTATGCCAAACTGATAGATTTTGCTTCACTATCCATGGTTACATCCAGACTTTGCTTCACTATCCATGGTTACATTGTTAAAAACATCAACACTGACAGACCAATCATAATTGAAAGACAGGTAATGTTTTCCGGATAAGCATACATTGTCTCTGGCTTGTGTTTGGTCAGATTATGTGATGAGTGAAATAGTCATGTAAATTGTCACTCATTTAACAGCTGTCAATAGCTTTCAAGGATGACATGAAGTATCCAAAATACAATGAATATTTGAGGTCAAAAAACATTATATTACTAAACATGTGGTAGTAGTGGAAACACTATTATACAGGTCGTCCAGAGATAAAACTGACAAAACCAATTGGGTTACAGGGACTGCCAATATAATTGCCAAATGCTATATACAAATGTCCAAAATCGTTACGTTACTGATATACAGAATGATTCGTGGATTTTGACAAAAAAATCAATCCACTATAGGGATTACCTGATTGGATTCAAATTTTGTACATTAATTAAACTAAAAGGCTTCAATAAGTAGATCTTCCATTCAAACCAATATTGGGGTCATAATATATTTTATCTACTCACTTCATAAAAAGTCAGTGTTGGCTCCCTCATTTGAGGGCACAAACCTGTCAATTTACTCCCACGGGAGGAAAAAAATATCACCTCCCGTGGGAGGTAGAATAAATTGGCTTCAGCATGCTTCCTTGATAGAGATTTACAAATAAGATTTGTGCTACCCAAGTACCTAATCAGTGTGTCCATCACTACTATAAAACAAATAACAATTTCATTTTCCAATGATCTCATACACTTCCTCATATAACACTCAATCGAAACTTTAAATAAAATGCAATAATTACATCATAATAAACTAATTTAATTTGACAGAAGTGTCAATGTCAAATTGATTTTCGTTCTGTAACCTTAGATCATGTAAAACTTGAGATCATTGATTTGGATCGAGACTCGAGAGATAGACCGCTTGAAGCACAATTTCAAGAACGAAGCTCTCAAATATATGTGTTCGTGGATAAAATCATATACAGGTCTCAACACACTAAATGGACCACCCATAATTTGACTCTATTTCGAAAACGTGTATTTCTTGAAAAAATTGACCGATCTTCATGCGGTTTTCGATATCAGATGTGATATTTCATCGCCTTCAAAGAGAGCTAGAACACTCTGAAAAAGTCCGCATAACAAAACTTACACAGGGTGTAAAGTGGAACCATTACACTATGGTCTACATTTCCAATGCTGCCAGAACTCGAGAATTTTTTTTTTGATCAAAAATCAGTCATATTATGGATACACTGGGACTTCATCTCGAGTCTGTTTCGTGATTTCTCCTTAATTGGCCTTTGGAACAAAAATTCGATTTTTTTTCGAAAGTCTTGCATTTCTTGAATTTTTTCTCTAAAACTCCACTCGAGCTGACTATTGGGAAGAACTGTTCTCAAGTTTTGTGGAGGACAATGAAAGACGAGAAAAGCACTAGTGTGGAATATACAGGATGATAAGAAAATAGGACAAAATCTCATTTCAGTAAAAAAAATCTAAAATGGTGACTAAAACCATGACCCATTTGATTCAGTATATTCAGAAACAGCCTTCTCGATATCCATTATTTATATTAGACTATTAACTCGAGAAGTTTTTCAAAATTCGCCTCTAATTGAAATACAGGATGAAAATTTTCAATACAAATTTGTTGCCTGACATCGATGATTCATATCAACTGATTTCCAATATTTATTGCCCAAGAGACAGAGAGTATTGTTGTTCAATATACTGAGTGTTTCACAACTTTTCTGACAAATTTCAACCACAACTACAATATTACATTAGAAGTCGATCAAATAATAATTTTATAGAAGTAAAACGAGATGGAAAATAAAATTTATAACACTATTGGCGAAATATGACATTATTGAATTCTTCAGCATTATGAAGATCCAACTAAAAAGTTCTCTATCCTGAATTTCATGAAATCGGTTTGGCATAGGTTGTTGATGAAGTCTATTGATATTGCCTCCCATTCTTCTGATATAACTTGGATAAGGTTGTCATTATTTTGGGGTGCTTCTGGCCTTCTCGATAGGTTAAGTTCCATTCGGCTCCACACTTGTTCAATCAAATTCAGATCTGGAGATAATGCTGGTCACCACATTCTTCTAACATTATTGTTTTCTAAAGTTCGTAATTTGTCAGATAAGTTGTGGAACACTCAGTATATTGAACAACAATACTCTCTGTCTCTTGGGCAATAAATATTGGAAATCAGTTGATAAGAATCATCGATATCAGGAAACAAGTTTAAATTGAAAATTTTCATCCTGTATTTCAATTAGAGGCGAATTTTCGAAAACGCCTCGAGTTGATAGTCTGATATAAATAATGGATATCGAGAAGGTCGTTTCTGAATATACTGAATCGTATGGGCCAAGGTTTTAGTAACCATTTTTGATTTTTCTTACTGAAATGGGATTTTGTCCTATTTTCTTATCATCCTGTATATTCCACAATAATGCTTTTTTCGTCTCTCATTGTCCTTCACAAAACATGAGAACAGTTCTTCCCAATAGTCAGCTCATCTGGAGTTCTAGAGAAAAAATTCAAGAAATGCTAGACTTTCGAAAAAAAATCGAATTTTTGTTCCAATGGCCAATTGAGGAAAAATCACGAAAAGGACTCGAGATGAGGTCCCTCTGTATCATAATATGACTGATTTTTGATCAGAAAAAAATTTCTTGAGTTCTGGCAGCATTGGAGATGTAGACCATAGTGTAATGGTTCCACTTTACACCCTGTGTAAGTTTTGTTATGCGGACTTTTTCATAGTGTTCTAGCTCTCTTTGAAGACGATGAAACATCTCATCTGATATCGAAAACCGCATGAAGATCGGTCAATTTTTTAAAAAAATACAGGTCTTCGAAATAAAGTCAAATTATGAGTGGTCCATTCAGTGTGTTGAGAACTGTATATCTTGGGAGCAAACGTTCATTTCCTCCCATGTGTTTGATGCCCTCCGCTACACGTCGGGCATCAAGCTTCACACGCGGGAGGGAATGGACACCTTTGCTCCCTTCATATATAAATAGCTATTTTGTTCCTATGTTTAGTTATTGTGAGAATAACTCACCCAACCCTGTATAATAATAATCAAAAATCTGAGTTCAGATTGAAAATCTACGGACAAAATACTATAGGAAATCGTTAAATCTGTTTCTGGCACTATTTCATTTATTCACTAATAAATTATCATTTAAATTTTTCCTATTAATTGTTCGATAAAATATCAAAAATGAAAATATAATGAATATTTACGAAACCAATCTGTTCGATTCCTTTGTGGAAATATTTTGTAAGTACTCTTGTAACCTAAAAAAAACGAAGAATTTATTCATATCGGGGCAGGAATGATTCTCTTTTATGTTCTTTATAAGTATAACTGAACAATTGATATTAATCTGATCATAGATTTGGAATCAACTAAAAAAATCGTGAAAAAAAAAATAATGAATTCGTAAAAAAACTTCTAATAGTATTAAAATTCTAGTTAGTATGAGATTTCTTCAGTTGATTCTGAATCTACGATCAGAAAAATGATAATTGTTATACTAGATCAGTTATACTTACAAGAACATGGAAAAGAGACTCAATCCGGCCCTGGTATGTAATTGATATTAATTTTCATTTCAAAAACTAAAAAATTACAAGTTGCTACTACTTTCTAATAGAAGTGGCAACACCGCATTGTCAAAAATATTTCGGTTGGGTAGAAAATTTTAGAGTATGTTCTCCATCAAATTTTCAGTGATCCATGGTCTGGTTCACCTGAAACGTCTAATGTGCCATCCACGGTGAATTAGCCTATACAATTCCTCAAGATCAAAATCCAAGATGAGTTTGTTTCGTTTTCGTTTTTTTTTGATCAACCAAATTATTATACTGTCTAAATATTCGCCATACGGTAGCGATACTTATGTTCAATGCAGCATCTACTTTCTGTAATGCAAAAAAATTATGCTCGCATTATTCTGACATAACCTGAAAAGTCATTACCATCGAATTATTGAACAGTATCATTTCATGGTCACAAATAATGCCTATCACAACATGAATGAAACTCCAGAAAATCATTTGCTTACAACTATCACAGCAGTTAATGGAAGTAATCATCATTATTACACTATTCTCGAAATATTGTATCTGGGGATCCCTATTGAAGCAATTTGAATATATCCACCATTCACCAATGATTCACAAATAAACCACAAATACGTTTTTAAGAAGGACAGACTTTCAATATAATCTATTGAATGATTCATAATTGGAAAATATCAGTTGTTCACAACAAATCTCTTCTAGAAATGCCAAATAAATCTGGTATCCGTGTAATGTTCTGCCAACTCAAATCAGTATTCACCAAGTATGACGAAACTATCTAGGGATTATAGAAGAACTTTATTGTACCTTGCAAGTTTGTAATGAGAGTTTCTCAGTCAATATCTATCCAACGTCTTTATTGGTCATGAAAATCCAATGGTTTTAACTAAGGTATTAAGAATGGCGGAGCTTTTTTCATGAAAATATGACAGATTTTTTGTCGAATTGCATGTCCTAGTCCATTCCATGAAGATGAAAAAGTTCATTACATCAAATGGTAATAGTATTGAGTGTATGACAAGCACAGGCATCTATAATTTTGAATGAATATTGTTGATTCCCACGGCGATTTGATATCCAGCTATTTTTTTTGCCAATATATTCTAAAATTAGATTCTTGAGAAGAAAATCAAATATTGTTTTTCTAGAATGAAGGTCAGAAACTTTAATGAAGTCAGAATTGGTTTGATGACCCCAAGTGATGACAGTTTTTAAATTTGATATAAACTAACTCTTCGCTTGTCTCAAATTCAGAAGAATGTATTTTGCAAACTTATAATATTAATTTCATTTCTTTTCCACTAGGATTGTGGAAGAACTCGACCTATCCAAAACTAATTCTGGTTATGATCCCCTTGCTTTACTAAGGAGACAACAACATATCAACAATCAAGAAAAGTCTATTGATGAAAAAGAAAAAGCCGAAAAGGAGCAACATGAAAATTCTTCCAGTAAACCTAGGCAAACAATATTATTGTCGGCAACTCTTACGAAAGGCATTGCTGAATTAGCAGATTTTACCATGAAGGAGCATACATATATTGATACTCTCGATGAATCTGCGAATATTAACTCCGATATGATGGTTATACCAAACACAGTCAAACAAAAATTCATAATAACTCATGTGAAACATAGACTTTTCATATTGTCTGCAATGCTGCTAGCTTTATCCAAAAAGTGCTCTAAAATGTTTGTATTCATGGGCACTAGCTCTATGGTAGACTACCACTATGAGTTATTCTCTAGATTCTTAGTGAAAATGCCTAAGAACAGAGGTAAGGTGAAGAGTGATGATCACATTTTTGTAGAAAATGAAGTTGATAGTGACGACGAAGAAGAGATAGTACTGGATATGGAGTTTTTCAAGTTACATGGGAATATGGAACAGAGTGACAGGAAAAATGTCTTCACAAGATTCAGAGCTTCAAAGACGGGTGTTCTCATTTGCACAGTGAGTATGAAAATTATATAAAAAAAACTCTTTTGATACATTTATATTTTACTTAATAGGACAGCCAAGATGAAAAATTGTGCATCTCTCTGTAGGGTCTCCAACAAATATTTTTAAATCTTTTTTAGTTGTAGAGGTGAACCAGACAATTATAGGGTTAAGTGGGTAGAGGCAAATTGATATTAATCTGGGGCAAATTTAATCCTATAGAATTTTTAAAGAAAAAATGGTGTATCTAGTGAAGTCTCGTACAACCACGTGTAAATTCAAGATGGCCTTGAGTACAAGAATTAATAAACTTTTTTCACCTCTTGGAGCACATGGATGGGAGTCCATATAATGTTCGAAGAATATCTTGCGTACCTATAGGGAGGATAGGGAAAGGATTCAAATTTTATTATCACTCTTCCTACTATGTTCATCTCAACCTCATTTGTTCTAGACAGAACAAATAATTGATCATTTCTTCGTGCATATATCACCTTATCTGTTACAATTCCGAATATGATTTCATCAATCAACACATCATTGAAAATCAAAGAAATATGTGAAAACCAACATATAAACTATACAGCTTAACATAGTCACAATATTCACCTGCCTAGTACACGCGGTGAACGAATCTGTACTATATTTGTTTTCATTTTTGTACTATCCTAGACATTCCAGTCTTTCCGAAACCTCATCGACGTCGTCATCTACAGTGTTAACCGCTATGAAAACTCATCAGTTATATCACAACCTGAATAATGTAGACTCAATGAATGCCTTCATTGTTGAAGGTCCTAGAGAAGAGCAGAACTTTCAAGTTCTATAAAGATTCTATTAGTTTCAATGTCATTCCTTAAACCCCAACAACGAGCCTCCCTGGATCTGTTAACCTGTGCATACAATACAATATTTGTAAGGTATGCACTATGCAGTCTATTCATCCTTCGTTGTCCACTACTTAATGCTTCATAATATTCAATCAGTATTTGAATGAACCAAAAATAAGGGAAATAAACTTGAACAAGTAAGAATAGCAAGTATAATTCTTGAATACTACCTTGATAACTATAGACTATGCCTTCAGTGATATGCTCCAGTTTGGGTTCCCGTAAAACCTATAGCTGATGCACTGGGTCAGTGGAAAAGTATATCAAATGTGTCATTACACAGGGTGTTGATTAATTTAGTACCGATAATACAAAGTATGAATCCTGGGGTGATTTTAAGGAGAGAAGCTTATATCAACTTTGTCCTAAACCTCTTAGATTTTGAGGTACAGGGCGTTAAAATCAGAGGCGTACAGTTATTTTTCAAATCATAACATTCAATAGGCCTACGTGAACATCTGGTAAAAGTTAAATACTGATTGAATTGAATTAAATACAGGCTTGCTTGTCTGAATATGCTTTCCTGATTTTCGATATAGGGCTGAAGATGTGCATATTTAATACCTAGCGCACGTCATAAACTGTCTGTTTGAAATATCGGTACCTGAATAGTATAATATTTCACTCATTGTGCTAATTTATGGATATGTAATAATTAGTTTTTCCAATCCTTGTACGGATTTATTGATATTTAATTTTTATATATTTAGTGTACAGTGTACACTCAACCGTGATCACGTCGGAGTCTTGCACACATTAGTAATCGTAACAGTGTATCGTTAAATATATATACACACACCCCTGTTTACCTGTATACCATATTGTATGGTAGTATGTGTCACTGATCACAACAATAATTATCAATAAATCACATTTGGGGACCATTTGCAGCACCATATTTCTATATTTCCTATTTAGTTTATCCATATCAAGCAGGGTATAGACAGCTTATACTTACTGATTAGTACGGGCTATTGTTTTTGAAAATCGATGGTGAGTAATTCTTGTAGTATAGATCCATTCATACATACGTTCAAAGTTTCGGTTACTGTTCAATTTTGTATTCATTGCTTTCTGGGAAACGGTACCTAGAAGAACTAGGGAGTTTTCTAACTTCAACTCGCCCAATTGATAAGTTGATGGAGCCCTCTTATTTCATCAGCTTGAGTATATTTGGTATATTGTTCTGGTTTGAACCCCCCTATACCCGATTGAGCTGTCAGGTATGTGCACGTGCTTGATTCGCGACCGTTTTCCAGATATTTTATCATTTTTGTGGATTTGTTTTTTTGTTTTTTCACAAACTCAAATTGGCACGTGGCAAATGTCATTGATATTCGTTTGAAAAATGTACAAATCTCTGAAGAGAATATGGTTTGTGACAGAGAATTAGTTTGTGCTAATATATTGAAATAATGAAATGAATTTTTCTACTTGAACATTTTCATTAGTGAACAGAATTGCTCGGAACAATTGAATTATTCATAGGTAACTTGTTTGAAACAGTGATATAGAACGCATAACATGGCACGTTCGGATGTCCGCGAACCGAACATTGAGTATGCCCTTTCCATTGCATTTTGTTTCAAGTCTTCTGCAAAAAATAATTAGCTCAGGATACGGATTGGCAAAATCCCCATCGATTAAATACTGTGGTGAATCAGATTTCCGTCACACACAAATTTCATGTTATAGCAAATTCCAATACTGACGTTACCAAAACGTTGACAAGGATGCAAATTCACATGATTTTTAACTGGGCCATCGGATATTAACTTTGGACAGCTCTGCCACTGACATAGATCAGTTTGAATCGCGACACGTTTGGATTTTCGTAAAGGGAACATAATCCCCTTTTATTTGCTCTTCGTTTCAACTCGTTATCAGATGACGGAATAATGGCACAGGTACAGCATTTGGGAGATATATCATTTCTATATCAGATGACGGTCGAAATTCGCAGCTGGCTCTCCCTCTAGAAATACTACTTATAGTATTGTGAAATTTGTGAATACTCATCTTCCAAAACGATTATTTCACTGTAGTTTTTGTTGATTAATCCTATCTCTATGTGTTCTAGGATGTGGTATGTAGAGGTATAGACGTACCTTCCGCTGATTGCATTATTCAATACAATGGACCTCAGAGTATTGAAGACTATTTACATAGGGTGGGAAGAACCGGTAGAGCTGGCAAATCAGGAGTTTCCTATATCTTCCTGACATACGAGGAACAAGATTTCATCACGAAAATGGAAAGTCACAAAATTTTGTGAGTATATATCCATTGGATTTATCATCGGATATATAATCACAAACGTATGATGAAACATTTATATCACATCAATGCTTGAAAGTACCTTCTTGTAGCCTTAATTTCAGGAGGTCCTCGAATTTTTATTTATATTGCTTCACATATATTCATCCAGTGGAGGTTCCATCAGTCCACACCACAGAACTCTTCTTTATATCTTATGACTAGAACATGCGATCCTATGGTTTCATACAACATTTTTGAACAAAACATGGGCATTGAAATATGGGTCATTTTTTACTAATCTCAGACTTACGTGGCTGTATGGTAATACAGGAGAGGAGAGAAACTACTGAGATGCAAGTCCTGCATTTTCATCGTTTTGTTTACAAACTACGCAATGTTGCCAGTTTATTAGCTGCCACTTGTGACTGCTTGTCAATTCATTTTACAGAGGATGATTTTCTCGTGACCAAATTCATCTTGAGATTTGATGCCTAACTCAAAACAGGTATTATATCTTGATTCTTGCTTCTAGTTGAAGCTGTTGAAAACACTGTACCAGAATTTCCAGATGATGTGATAAGATTGTCTTCAAATGATAAATTGATTGTTCTCCTGATCCATCAGGAATATATTCTGAAAGCTGTTCGAGAAGTTTTATGAGAACAGTCTAAGGAAAAGACCATTCGATTTGGGGTGTAATTGTTTGTTCTCTATGAGTAACTTTTGGTACCTTCAATGAGATACCCTATATTTCTCAGCCTAATGAAATCATCCTCTTCAGGTTCCAGCACAATGAAAAATGAAGTGAAGCAATGTTATTAAAATGTGAATTCTGTAAACACTTGAATGACAAATTTTACATGAGTTTATATTGGCATATAACCTCTCAGTCTCCATTTGAAGTGGGAGAAGTCTTCTGAAATGAACTGATGATTTGATACAGTGGAATGCCGTACTCATTCAAACAATGAACTATGTATGACAATTAAATATGGTATAAAATATGAATAAATTATAATGTGAGGATTTTCCTTATATTAAATACAGGGTGATTCACATAACAACCGACATAGGGCAGGGGCATGTAGGGGGTCCCAAAATATGGCAATTCAACGCAAATTACCTCTATACCAAGTTACTTCCCTAAGGAGTTATAGGCATAGCACTAACAGCATGTCAACTTGCTCGTTAAAAGAAAACTTCCCGTTCATTTTAAAAACACTCTAACAACAATTACTTAATTGAACAACTCACTTGCCTCATTGTCAAGTTTGACGTTCATTTTCATAGCCAACTTTTGAATTTTCCATGATTTTAAATAACACACCTAGAGCGCGCGTTTTCAATTATTCGAGTTTTTGATGAAAATGATGAGGTTTTTCCAAACTTTACTAGAGTAAGAAAAGTTTTAGAATTGAATTGCCCACAAAACAAAGTGAAGAATTTTGAAATCCATCAAGGGTTAACAAAATTATGTTGAATATTAATGGTGCGCCATCCGGTATACCCCGTTTATAAATTTCAATCAAACTCTAGTTACTGTCAAGTAACGCCCCAAATACATCCACAAAGTGTACCAAATTTGGTTGCTTTAAGTTCAAGGATAACGAAGATATTGATTTTTTTTCAAAATTTATAACTTCACTTTCAAAGCCTATATCTCCTTAGGGAAGCAACTTGGTATAGAGGTAAGTTGCGTTAAATTGCTATATTTTGGGACCCCCTACATGCTCCTGCTCTATGTCGGTTCTTATGTGAATCACCCTGTATATCCTATATTTGTGCAGTGAATTCCTTGCTCAAACAAATGAGCAGCATATCTATTTACTTGTATCATCCAAATTTCCCATTGGAATTCTATAGTCATTTTCTGATTTTCCGAAAATTTATATAATAATACTTTCATACGAGATAAGCCACTGACGTCCATTCAAATTTCGCCACGAATTTGAACGCCGCTTCTGTTTATGGTTCACTTGAATGATTTGTTCATCCGCCATATTGGATACGCATTCTTGTCGTAAGATATGAAGGTTATTAGTAAACAATACACGTAAACAGGAGACAACCAGTTGACTGTACGATTTCCCACAATACCAAAAATAATTTTACAAAAGTGATGTACTTTGTTGAACATTGAAACATATTCTACAAGAAAATACATAATCTCACGTTTGCCATGATAGATGGAAATGTTTCCATAGGTTTTTCATCAACATCAGACATTCTTTTCAGATTTTCAACTCGAGTGGACTTATCTTTTACTATTTTATTTTTTCAGAACAAGTAGATAATTATGTTCAATTACATACAGGAGATTGATCTAGAACCATTTTATCTAAACCATTCCAATTATCACTTTATTCGAATATCAAAACCATATCCATTGTGCACGTTGAATTTTGTGATATCATTAGAAGTGGTTCCTGACGAAACATTTTCCAATTTGATCGAATAATTTATTTGGCGCATCCAAAAATTCCATTACTCGCTTGTTCGCTTTTGAACGACACAATATATTTTTAAATAGCATCACAATTCTTTTTGCTACTATTGATAATGGTAAAAGTCTCCTCGAGATAATTGAAGTTGACTAGAAAATACCATTGAATACCTTTTGGGTGCGAGAAACCCACGCATGCTTTAGAAAATGTTAGAAGGAGGACCGCCTATTTTCTGACTTATTGAATCTTTGCACCTTTCAGTTATTGGTACTCATTGGCCTTGTGCTGTTGAAGGTCGCTTCTAACTCGTGCAAATTAACCAGAGCATCCCTTTTCTTGGGTAGGAACAGAACGACGTCTCATCTCAATCTAAAACAAATGTGAATAAAGCTCAGTTTCCATGCATACGAGTTTTCTGCCATTGAGGAAGAAATTTGTATTAGAGTTCAATCAATATATACAGAATACGCGATGATGAGTTCTCCTCAAGTAAAATTATCCGGAAGTAAAATACCTCTCCATTCGGATTTCCGGGCGAGAGGTGCTAGAGGGGGTTCACCATCGGCTGAAAAAGTCCTCAAGATAGACCTATGTAACATCCGAGGTCTAAGTAAGAACATCAACGATGTCCATCGACACCTTCAAATTGAAAAGCCAGACATATTGGCTCTTACTGAGACACAGGTCAATTCATCCACCAATACGACCTATCTGCTCTGTCCTGGGTACGAACTCCACACACGTTTTAGATTCAAGGGAGGTCTCTGCCTCTACTCTAAAACGAATCTCTCATGTCAACGAGAAAAAACTCTGGAACCAAACAAGTTTGATGTCATGTGGTTCAAACTCGATAGCCAGAAACAGACCAAATACCTTTGTTGTCTCTACTTATCACCAAATGATCCATCCTATGAAGAGCTCTTCGAATTCTTGTCTCTGAAGCTTGACCAAATCCAACAGAACCATCCAGCAGCAGAAATCATCATCATGGGCGATTTCAATGTACACAACACTGCTTGGCTCGTACACTCTAACAGAACGGATGAAGCTGGGCGACAAGCCGAAGCTTTCGCCATCACTCACGGCTTAGAGCAGCTTATCAAAGAACCCACACGAATTCCCGATGTCAATAACCATTCAGCTAACATACTTGACTTATTCCTCACTAATAATTCAGCACCCTACACCATAGATGTACGAGCTCCACTTGGCAATTCTGACCACACACTCATCTCCACAACCTGCCCATTTTTCATTCCATCAACTGCTCCGGCACCCCCACGTCTTATATGGCATTACAATTCAGGAGATTGGGACGGTCTCCGCATGTTTTTCTCCGAGTTTCCTTGGCATAGAGTATGCTTTGACTCTGAGGACCCTTCACAGTGTGCTGCGGAAATATCCGAGATCATCATGCTCGGAATGGACACATACATACCTCATTTTTCGAAAAGATCATCACCTTCGAAACCCTGGTTCAACAAAAACTGTTCTAGAACTGTTGCCTTGAAACAAACAGCCTACCATCGTTGGCGCAAAAACCCTAACCTCGCGACTAGAGCAGAATACGTTGATGCCAGGAATAACTGCAGCCAAACAATAGATGCTTCGAAAGAAACATACAATGCCAAGATAAGATCGAAACTCATAGATTGCCCCAATGGCTCCCGTTCGTTTTGGTCCCTTGCTAAAGCGGTCGGAAGAAATTTCACTGATAGTTCATTTCCACCACTGTCCAAATCCGACGGCACATTAGCAACAACATCGCAGGAGAAAGCAAATATTTTTGCAGAGATGTTCGCAGCAAACTCTACTTTAGATTCCCAAGGAAAACTGCCGCCAGACATTCCACCCGTTGAGAGTCGAATGCCCGAAATCGTCTTCCGTCAACGCACTATCAGACGAATTTTGCTTGGTCTCAAAACGAATAAGGCTAACGGTCCTGATGGAATTCCACCCATTATCCTCAAAAAATGTGCACCAGAATTAACACCGATTCTCTGCAAGTTGTTCACCATCTCGTACAGGTCGGGTATTTTTCCATCATGCTGGAAGACAGCTAGAGTCCAACCAATCCCCAAAAAAGGGAACAAGAACCTGCCCAACAACTACAGGCCCATTGCCCTGTTATCAGTAATCTCCAAAGTGATGGAGAAAGCCATCAATATTGAGCTTATCAAATATCTGGAGAGCTCAGGAATCATCAATGATAGACAATACGGCTTTCGCCACCGAAGATCTACTGGAGATCTACTTGCCTACGTCACCCATTTATGGCAATCTTCAATAGAAAAACACGGGGAATCTCTAGCTGTCGCGTTGGACATTTCGAAAGCATTCGACCGTGTTTGGCACGAAGGACTCCTCCACAAACTACCATCATACGGCTTACCACCTCAGCTATGCCATCTCTTATCGAGTTTTCTTTCAGGCAGATCGCTTCACGTGGTGGTGGACGGTGTATCGTCTGATACCTTTGGCATCAATTCCGGCGTTCCACAAGGATCAATTTTGGCACCAACATTATTCCTGCTTCATATCAATGATCTGTTGGGAGTAACAACTTGCCCCATCCACAGCTTTGCAGATGATAGTACCCTCCATACTGCGTTCTCTTCTAGAATTCCCATTTCTTCCCAGGAAACTAAGAACTCACGGCGCAGGCAGGTCAATGCTGTCAATGAAGATCTTGCTGAAATCACAGCCTGGGGAACAAACAACCTAGTTGAATTCAACGCCACCAAAACTCAAGCCTGCATTTTCTCTAGAAAGGCGGAACTCAGTATGCCCGTTATTGTAATGTCTGGCTCCACCATCCCCACCAAGCCCACCATATCTATGCTCGGTATTTCCATCAGCAACACTCTTTCATGGGATAATCATGTCAGATCCATCGCAAAAGCTGCTTCACAAAAACTCGGATTCTTGTTCCGTGCGAAAAGCTACTTTACACCTCAACAGCTTCTCATGATCTACAAAGCGCAAATACGGCCTGTTCTAGAATACTGTTCCCACATATGGGGTTCAGCACCAAAACATACACTGATGCTCTTAGATTCCATCCAGAGAAGAGCCATTCGCCTGGTGGGTGACGCCACACTCACTCACTCTTTGACATCATTGGAACACCGTAGAAAGGTCGGCGACCTTTCACTTTTCTATCGATACTTCCACGGGAAATGTTCTTCGGAAATCTCTGCTATCATCCCTTCACTAGCAATACCAATCAGACGAACTAGACAAGCCCAGTCAGCACATCCTTTCGTTGTCAACCTCGAAAGATGTCGAACAGCACTTTATCAAGACTCCTTCATCCATAGAACGGCTAGGCTCTGGAATTCATTGCCTGTGGAAGTATTCCCAACAACATATAATCTCCAAAAGTTCAACAAAAATTCTAATACCTACCTCCTCTCCCTATCCTCCCTAGGAACGCACGATGTTCTTTGAACATTATAGGGATTCCCTTTCGTGCGCTCCAAGCGATAAAAAAAAAAAAAAAAAAAATGGATGTTCCCTGATTTGCTAGTGATGCATTTTCAGTTTCAAATCAATATTTTCACTATCACTATAATTATTACTAGCTATTATTATGATCATTCATGATAGCACTTTATTTGAACCTTCTTGTATAATAAAGATCAAAGATATTGAGAGATATTAGTCAGAGTGGTTATATAAATGTAATCCTTAAGGAATATGAATCAGATAACAGATACATGCATTTTCTATAATACTGTCTGTCGGTTAATTGAAAAGAGAAATAGTTATTTAACCAACTAGTGTATTAATGATCGAAATAATTTAACGTGCAAGCAAAGCAAGCGCGTCAATGTTCGCTATGTTGAAAACTTACAAACATAGGAACATACATATCAAGCTAAAGTAAGCAGAATATTTCGAAGCCAGGAAAACCTGCAGCCAAACTTATTTGAAGAAAATGAAAGTGGGCTGTATTAATTTGAGATGCGAGATTCTAATTTGAGCAATGAGAAAATATGTAGAGTGAATTAATAGACAAAATATGTTTAGTGAATCAGACTTGAGATTACAACGGTCCTGATGGAATTCCACCCATTATTCTCAAGAACTGTGCACCAGAATTGACACCGATTCTCTGCAAGTTATTTACCATCTCGTACAAGTCAGCTATTTTTTCATCTTGTTGAAAAATAGCTAGTGTCCAACCAATTAAAAAAAGGAAACGAAAGCCTGTCCAACAACTATAGGCCAGTGGCTCTGTTATCAGTCCTCTCCAAAGTGATGGAGATTGATTAAGCTCATCAAATATCTGGAAAGCTCAGAAATCATTAATGATAGACAATATGACTTTGTCACCCATATATGGCAAGCTTCATTGGAAAAACATGAGGAATCTCTAGCTGTGGCGTTCGTCTTTGTAACGACGAAGTTTTGGAAATATTTGCCAATGAAAGTATGCCCATGAACTTATAACCTCCAAAAGTTCGAAAACAACTCCAACATATTCCTCCTCCCCATATCCTCCCTATGTACGCATCTTGTTCTTCGAACATTATAGGAATTTACTTTCGTTCGCTCCAAGAGATGAAAAAAGCGTGTTAATCAAAAGCGTCTTTCAGAGGTGCCCTTTATCTCCATATCTCCGTAAGGAGGGCATGTAGGATACACATTTATAGGAACTTGTCATCTTGCTTTCTCAGGTTTTTTCTCAATCCGAAAGATTCTGGCAGTTTTGTTGGCATCCTGTAGGTAGAACATTGTATTCACTTCTACATTAAACTCATTATTTGAATAAATACTTGAACGCATATAAAATAGTGGCATGATGAAATTTGTTATTTCAAATTTGTTTTGTTGATACTGATTATTGTTTTAGTCTATTATCATTATTGAGGAATGGGTATGAGACTCAGAGTCTCTTGGTTCATCATGGTCACTAATAATTGTTGATTTTGAAATAACCTATAAATAATAAAGAGTTGCTAATTGTAGGTTTCATATCTCAATAAACATTCTAAATCGAGTTCTCAATAAATCATGATGCTTTCATCCACCCTTTAGATTCTGTCATGGTGCTTTACGAAGTTCTGGAAAAGTTATTCAAGAAATTCTCACTAATTTTCGTTCAATGGAAAATAGCGAAGAAATACAAGAATAACTCGAGATGAAATCCCATCATGCATTCATTCATAAAACAATTTATTCAGAGGTCCGGCAGTATTATTTCAACATTCCACCCCTGATTGTTTCATTTTTTTGATTATCTCTCATTAATGTAGCTTTCCTTGTAGTCGATAAAATATCTCGACTGATAATCAGAACATACTCACTGTTCCAATTACTTCGAACAAAATATTTGAATACTGAATGCTGCACTTAATGTTTTGTGAACTGTCGTTCCATTTTCGTTCAATTATATTTTGATCTCTAAATGAATTGAACAAAGAGGCAAAGCATGCAGTATTCGCTATGATGAACGTAATATATGGGGAAAATGCTCAATACTGCAGTATTAGAAATATTATTCTAGGTGATCAATTTTGACAAATGCTAAGTGATCACTGGTATTATAGCGGCAAACTGCAGAAATATATATATATATATGACATTCATGAACATTTGGAAAATGGAGATACGAAATTATGAAAAGCCTTTTTGTAAGCGAAAAACATATTCATTTCCATATTTTGCCAAACTGCTTCGAAATCGTTTGTGGCTTTGTCTGACTATCACTGATTGTACAGTGCCCTTACTCTAATAAAGAATTGTCTTGAAAGAAATTGGTGGAGTTTTTAGATACTAAGTACATGTTTATGCTTGTTCAACTCATACGATTATGAAGGAGAAAATACATCGAGTGCAGATACACTCCAGCAGTTCCTCCCAATGGAACTTACTATTAATACAAACACGTGTTGTAAAACTTCCAAACACGTCAGATCCATACTAGCCCGGGATCCAACGACATTTTTCAATGTCTTATTTGATGAAGCTTGGTTAATTTTTTTATCTGTTGTCGTAATATAGCTTATCAACAAAATCCACTCCTGCCACCTCAATCGCGGGACAACGCTTCCCAGCAGCCTATTAATTTTGTTGACTATTTCACTCATCACATAATCTGACTACTCACAAGCCAGAGACAAAGTGTGCTCATCGCGAAAACATGAGCTGTCTTTCAATTCTGATTGGTCTAACAGCGTTTATGTTTTCAACGATGTAACCATAAATAACCAAAAAGAATCACTCATTTATAATGAATGATTTTTATGCTTCGTAAACGTGAAATAGTCTAGCTGAATACTAACTAAATTATGTTTCCGTACAGCAATATTTTCACTCTGTTGTTACTCGGCAACACAATTTCGTGAACAATGAAGCAACAGTATCATCTCGAATATTCAGAACAACGTATCATAAATTTTACAGGGTGAACTACATACCTGAATAGAACGATCGAAATCAACTTACCTTTATTAAAAAATGCACCGTTGAGCTATGAGAGGGCACTGAAAAATAATTTTATTTTCATGATTTTCTTGATTATTTCAACATCCTTGAATGGTACTGTTCTAAAATTCGTAGGGCAATTTACTACCGTAAATGTGCATGAAAAACATGTTAGTGAATTGCCCTACGAATTTTAAGCCTTAGCATTTAAGGATTTTGAAATATTCAAGAAAATCTGGAAATAAATTTATTCTTCAGTGCCGTCTCACTGCTCAACGGTGTATTTTCCTATAGAGGTAAGTTTATTTCGATCGGCCTATCTAGGTCTTTAGTTCACCCTGTAGAATTTAGGGTACGTTGTTGTAGGACACTTATTTTTCCACATCATTAGGTCAATGGTACTGCCATCGTTCTACGAAACAGATAGCAGCATGTGCTTTTTTTTCTAACTCATATGTCATTAAACGATTGGAAAAATTTCAGCTTCATTCATTTTTGAAAATTTACTCGTTTTTTAACACCATTGATAAGCTGCTGATAATGGTTGTCCCGATGGTGCGCCAACAGGAGTTGATATTATGTCTAGAAGGTGTTAATATGACACGAAAATAATGAAATTATTCTTCATCAAATGTGTCAAAAAAATTTCGCTGTATCCCCAACTATACCTAATAATCTGCATATTAACGACTTTATGTGTATATCAACGTCATTCTGACTTCAACGGTAAAACACAATTAATTCCAATATTTTTTTTATTCAGCATCCAGGAACAAGATTCAGAAGAATTTTTAAAATATTTAACCATCATAATGGACGAAACAAACCAGGAGAGTGCAGCAACTAAACTCCAAAAAAGCTATGAAAATGCATTGGAAAATGATAAGGATTTACATAAACTGGCTTGTATGGGTAAGCTTTTCATTTGATTCCTGAAGTTCATCCAAGGAAGCAGTTACATTTTTTTAATATCTCACACCTGGTAACAAACAATTAATGAATCAATTAATTATTCAATCAAACCTGAATGTCTCAGATACTAAATAATTGTCAATTATTTAGAGGTTCACGAATTTGTTATATTCTGAACTAGCTTTAATATATACTATCGATTTTGTCTGGTGACTCAGAACAAAAAAGAGGATGAAGAACTGTTTGGCACAAAATTGACCAAAATTCATTAGATTCCCTTTAATGGAAATTATATCTTTTTTCGGATACTGACTCTTCCAATCTTGAGATCCATTTTTATTCAAACGCTTTTTTCCCTGTCTCCTGTTATTGAAGGAAGAAAACACGAAGATGAAGGAAATGCTACAAAATATGAGGGACACAAAAAGAAGACTAGAAAAAGGGAAAGTCCGGAACAACGTAATACTATCAGGTTTAGAAATGAAACAGAAAAATGAACCATAGCTAAAAGATGAGACCAAATAATTCCTAGAAAAAAAAAAAAGGCTATGGATGAAAGGTATCATAGATAGAAACGAAAATTTGTGAGAGAGCTAGATAACAACTACGAAAGAGAAATGATAATGAGAAACAAAGGCAAGCTTGAACAATTGCAGGAGATAATCTACATAAATAACGAAATGATGAAAGAAGAAAAAGAGATCCAAAAAAAAAAAGATGAAAGAAATAGGAGAAGAGGATAGAAAAATGGGAAAACAAACTACAATGGGTTTTCAAACGATTACAATAGAAGAAATAGAATGAAAATGGGATAAGACACAAGAAACACAAATAGAACAAAAACTAAAGAGGAACACTCCAAAAAACTGAATGAAAATTTAAAAGACGGAATACGGAGAAAGACTCAAGCTAATAATAGAACATACAAGGAATGTGAATACATATACGATTATAAAAACAATAAAACAACAGAATCAAGAGAAAAAAATAAGAAATAAGGACAAACGAAGAGACTAAGACACAGGAAAATGGCAAAAATCATGAGAAAAAATATATGAATATAAGAATGGGAACATGTAATGTGAGAAGCAGTTGTGCAAAAGAAGAGGAATTAGTAGAGAAGATGATGAAACATCAAATAGTGCTGGAAATTACAGAGAAAAAAAGGAAGGAGAAGGGTTGAAGAGAATACATAAAGGATACTGAGGTCAGGAGTAACGAAAGAAGAAAGGGCGAAGGAAGGTGAAGGGTTAATAATAGCACTAGATACGGAATATGAAGAAAAAATCTGTTGATAGCAGTTTGACGGCGGTTAATATAAAGTTATTAGAGAAAGAAATATGAACGATAATAATTGAATATGGGGATAATGAAAGTGCGAGTAAAGAAGAATACGACTCATTCATTGAAATAATATTAAATTAAATTGATGATGAAAATATGCGGGTCACCTTGATGGACGAGTAGGGGATCCAAACGAGGGATTAGAAGAATGTATGGGAAAAGAAGGAGAAAAGACAAAACTTAATAATGGAGAATAATACAGTTATGCATACAGTATGTATAATATTTCTTTGCGTGTGAATGAAATAAACATAGACCTACGCGCAACTTGCTATCCTCTTCAGACTTTCATATAGAGCAGCAATGTCTATCATGACGTTTGTTGACATAAGTTACGACATCGTTATTGAACTCCGGGTTAAAAGCTTGAATACAGAGGTGTTGGTATGTCGATACAAATTTTAATCTGCTTATTCAGAGGCGTGCAGTAGGTACTGAAATGACATCGTTAAAAATAGTCAAATCTTATTTCAAGAATATCATCATGATGTATATAATTTTAGCGTGTCGCTGATGCCCTCAATATTATTCTGCGGTCAGTTTCGAGTATTGAAATATGTTCAGAGAGAAACGGAAGTTTAAGACAGTAGATCTGGATGATAATTTGAAAATGGAAGCACTCAATGTGATCTATACTATGTATGCAGAAAGTGAGTGATTTGATACTTCTTGACCACCTTCAACTGACTATTTCACAGAAAAACACATCACTCTTAAAATTCTGAAAGAGGAACTCAGAAATAAGTAGATATTTCTTTTGAAAAGACCAATTCGTCGGTCGGTGATAGTCAGTATCTCCGAGTCATCGGTTGAGCATACAGTTCACATCAGTCAGTCTCGTGTCAATTTTTCTATTTCACTATACGCTAGAAACATATGGGTATTTTTCAGTACATAGTAATATACCAAATAACTTAAACGACTCAACAGTGTTCGTCTTTACCACAACCACAGAATACCTCACAAAAGTATTGAAAAGGTCTGTATATCGGGTTATATACCGACCCATACACATATACACACCAAAGTTCTAATATATGTTTTTGACTTCAATAAATTGACGAATTCAGGAGTTGAAACTGGAAATATATACCAATCCTATGTTTTATTGAATGTTTCTTAATCGAAATTACGTGAAGTAGTAAACACAAATTTTCTGAATATTATTAATAATTTTAACCCGATTCCTGAAACAGCACGACACTGCTTCACTGAAACACATGACCTTGAATTGATTTCATCCGTTTTTTTGAAATTGTGACGTACGCGCCAAAAATATTATGCAGACAGGCAGACAGCAAACACAAAGTTATGAACGAAAACAGAAAGTAAAAGAAAAAATTAAGAGTTATAAACTCAAAGAAACAAACCGCCAGAAAACATTCCAAGAAATAATGAGGAGAAAATATGGTAAAAAAAGAGAAGAGGGGTAGAAGAAACGAGCTTTTAAAAGAACATTTTCAGAGACAAGCTTTTATAAAAGTGCACTACAGCACAGACATACCCTCATAGACCTGGTACAGGTGGAACTGAATGATAGCTTGTAATTGTAAAAATATCTGACAAAGCAAAACTCCACATACCAATTTTGGAATATAATCGGACCATAATCATAAAACCCATCCGCCATTTTGAAGCCTTCAACTTGAATTTCCCAATGTTGATGGAATAATCATAATTCCCGACCCAGAAATCCTTCAGGTGCCGATTTTGAATAGAATCGGATCATAAATACGAAATTGGTTCGCTATTTTGGATCCGTCATATTGAATTTTCCAATTTTGACGAAAGAATCATAACCTTCAACCCCGACAACCCTCGGACACATATTTTGATTAGAATCAGATCTCAATTATTATAAAACTCGTCTGCCATATTGGAGCCACCATCTAGAATTTTCCAATTTTGACAGTAGACTCATAATTGCTGACACCAAAAACCCCAAGATATCTGTAAAAACAAGAAGAATGTCTAGCATTATGAAGACAACTTTCTTGAAGAAAATGAATACCGAAAAACATTAAAACAACAGTAGTCAAAAAGAAAATCCACCCAATAGTAATGTACAGCAGCGACACATGGACTCTAAAAGAAAAACATAAATCACGGATAAATGCAATGGAAATATTTTATGAGAAAAAGGAAATTCTTACAATGAGTGGAGGTAGGTGTTGGATTTCTTTCGGAACTGCTGGAGGTTATTAGTTCTTGGGAATACTTCAATTGGCAGAGAATTCCAGGACTTCGCCGTTCTATAGTTGACCACGTGAGGTCATCTTCACTGATTTACATTGATCATCAGATGAGTTGCAAATATCCTAGGGATCGGAATAGGGACATGAAATTCATCAACGATAAATTATTTTCTTGACAAATGTTCAGTCACTGGCGTAGGTACTTGATAAGCAGGGATGATCCAGTACCTATTTACTGATCTGATTTTGGATCATTGTTTGTCTCTCATGATATTTCCGTTTGAATAATTCTCTTCAAAGATAATTTGAAAAGTATGGGTCCTTGATCAGTAGGTAACGCAGCTCAAGTACTAATACTTACAAATTATCTCTGAAACGAATCATTAATTGTCTACTGAACTTTTCTGATTTTGATAATTTGTCGATTTTGTTTTTGTTTCATTCAACTCAAAATATATTACTTCTCACATAATCCACTACCGAATTTGAAATCGATATATTGTTATACCAGGTGTAACAGGATCATGGTACACCAAACCACTCAATCTGGTGAAAAATCAAGAAATTTGACATTTTTGACCGTATTAAAATTTTTGTTGCATTACACCTGTCGATATGAGTACATCAGACTCGATCAGAATCTTGACTATTCTACGCACAGCTAGATAGAAAATCAAAAATGTTATTAAAATCAATATTGAAGTTTGAAATGTCACTTATATGGTATTATTTGATTCAGAAAATGATGCAAAATTTGAAAATGCAATGATATACAGGGTGTTCCATTTGAAAATCAGAAGTTATTACAACTTCTGGTGAAACCGGAAGCAGAAAATAAAACGCATTTATGTCAAAACATGACGTCAAGTTGATGGGTCATTCCAAATTTCAAACAGGGGGATCTAGAATGTGAAATTTCATCATCGTATATTATTCTTAACAATCTGAGGCGGTCGATCAATCCAGGGACAGGACAAAAACCATACGTCGGCGCTACCAACATGTAATATTGCTGCAACGCTACATTATCAAACTTCACCTTTGTAATATTGCTGAACGTCCGTTTTAGTAATGGCTTCAACATTGCATCAACATAGCTTCCAACTTTGTTTAATGGAAATGATTTCCTGAAATTTATAAAAGTATTTAAGAAAGTGACAAATGCTGATCATCTATGTCAAGGTATTGAAATGTATATGGCCAAATATGTTGAAATTTTTTGAAAAAATTGTCAATTCAACCATAATTATCATATAGTACAATTTTTGTGGAGCCGAAGTCTGTGGTTATATTGGCCTTCTCATTACGAAGACCCCGCATTTGATAGGTACATTCAATGTTTTCCATCGAATTCAAATTCATTCTAGATCTCAAAAACGCATATCGCAAAATATACAAAGCATTATTTAAATCATCGAAATTGCTTTGAAGTTTGAATAGGTATAGTCTATTGAAAGTCATACTGATATTCTTCGAGCGGTCACACCAAACATCTTGAATATCAACGAAAACGACATATCATATGTATATCAATCAGTCACCTGACTATATTGCATATAAACTGCCCATTTCGCAAATATACGATTGGAAATGAATATATAACGAGTCTATACCTTCTGAGACGAAAGCATAATCTATCATCTCATTTTCTTCATATACTTATTGTATTATTGTCCATAATTTCATGGATATGGCAACTGCATGATCATTTCATTGTAATTGAATCAATTAGATACCATCATGAAATATTTCTTGCTTATTTTTCAGCTTATTCCTCCTGGTCCCGTTTTTACAACACCTACTCTTCGAAAATGCGACAAATTTTTGAATTCAAAAACGCTAATATTGGCCATTATGTAACTAGTTTTGGACTGAAAGAAACCCCTACAGCTGTAGCCAGAATGTTGAAGGGTAATGTCTCAACTATGAAACAGCAAAAATTCAACAAAAAGCTAGCTTCTCATGGGTGAGTACTCAAACTTACGTGAATAAGAACTTCGTGATGATTTAGAGGTGATCATCGAGCTTTGTCCGTCCTTACTACACAATTTATTGAGGAAAATCAATGATTTAAAGAAACATTTTTTTGTTTGAAATATTTGTCTATTGTATTGTACATCGTAATTTTGACTATGCAATATTTCAAAAGCGAACTTTAGTATCTTTCCAAATCTTATTTCTGTTGAGTATGGTCGAAAGAAACGAGGGGACTGACATTACAGAATCACATAACATATATCTGATTTACCGAATATATAGGGAGTTTGGTACACGGAGGTGGTAGGTAATGTGATTTTGAACATATTCAATCACATATACTATACAAAGTGTTACACTCTTCGGGAAATCATCGCTTAGAATTTGTAAGTTTTGGATGTTACAGTAAATCATTTCACAATTAGATCCCATAACGTGTTTAATATCGATGAAGTACGTATCAAATTTTTTGACATGTGAACGAGGTGGTCCCTGATAAGTAATGAACCTACCAAGATTACTAATTCAACCTGTCTTGAAACCACCTCATTTAATATATATTTCAAGCCACAAATAGAGATAAACTCAGTCATTACCACAATAGTTCATAAAATGAACGAAAACGGTAGATAACGTGACGTGACGTGCAGCTCTGCGATTAGGAAGGAAACACTTGCGATTTTATTCGTCTATACGAATTATTGCATAGATTCCGGATGTAATCCAATGTTCTGCGTGGCATATAGCCAGGTAAGTAGTTGTTTTCCTCTCGTTATCTACCATTTTCGTTCATTTTATGAACTATTGTGGTAATGACTTTGAGTTTATCTCTATTTGTGACCATTGCATTCCACTTTAAGTATTTGGCTTCTTCCTAGTTGATATATTTCAATTTTCCACTAAGAAGTACTTCTTGCCGAACGAGACAGGTCGGCAAGTAGGTTCTGAAATAAGTCGTATAGAAATGACAACATAATCATACAAAATATACCATAATTACCTTACCTTCTATATCTCGAGTCCCAGCTACCTGCTTATATACAGTGTCATTCATAAAGTCGGCATCATATGGAAAAAACTTTTATTAATGACTTATTTTGAAATACGAGTTGGACGTTAAGTTCTGCTTCAAAAAAGATGAAAAATGGCCTACTCAATCGGAGTCACGTGACTCGCTACATGTCAAAAGTGAAATTTTTTCAAATTAAACGCTGAAAGTAGGCTTATTTGTTAGAATATCGAAACAGTTCACTTGAGAAAGTTGTTTCTATTTAAATTTGACATATGTGACTCGGATTTTATCTTTCTATTACATTTTCAGATTTCGATATTTTTTAATAATTTTCGAAATTTCTGTATTAAAAAAGTTGTAAATTCGATAAAACTACTTCATATCAGTAGCTTCATCATGCTACTAACTTTCAATTACTAATTATCACTAATTAACGACAAAAATATGATTTTCTTCAGAAAATGATAATCTCCGCTTCAAAATTCTGTTATGTTTGATGTAAACATAAAAACAAAATTCTGTTATGTTTGAGTCAAGCAGTCAGAAACGAAATTCATTCAAATTTATTTTTTCAGTACTGAGAAGATCAGTTTGAATGAATTTCGTTTCTAAATGCTTGACGATATATCAACTTTGCATCAAACATTACAGAATTTGGAAGCGGGTATTATCATTTTCTGAAGAAAATCATATTTCTTAATAATGAAAAAATTTCATAATAAGTAATTAAAAGTGAGTAGCATGAAGGAGCTACTGGTATGGAGTAGTTTCGTGGAATTAACAATTCTTCAAATAATATTACAGAAAATTCTCGAAATTAAAAAAAAATCAAAATCTGAAAGTTGCAATAGAAAGATCAAATTCGAGGAGCATGTGTGAAATTGAAGTAGAAAAAACTTTTTCAAGTAAACTTTTTTGATATTCGAACAAATAAGCCTACTTTCAGCGATTAATTTGAAAAAATGTCACTTTTGACATGTAGCGAAAGTCACGTGACCCCGATTGTGTAGGTCATTTTTCATATTTTTTGAAGCAGAACTTAACGTCCAACTCGAATTCCAAATAAAGTCATTAATACAAGTTTTTCCCATATGATGCCGACTTTATGAATGACACTGACAAATTTTCGGACGTGATTTCACCCATTATGCCTTTTGGAGGGTATCATTATGTATATATTCAGGCATGTTTTCTAGGTTTTGGTATAGGGGGCATCAGCAAACGGTGTTCAATTTTTTCCGTAGCCTATATATAGCACAAACATGTATACTTCTTGGACGCAAAACTTTTTTTCACAAATATTGGCCTAATTTTCAGTTGCAACTGTAAATTAGGCAGACAAAACTTTTTTCTCTCGCATCTCCCAATCTACAGTTGAAACTGTAAATTAGAGCCTCACAGTCTCAGTTCTCACAATTTCTCCTCAGACTACCAGACATGAGCTGGTTTCTTCCTCTTGATTTTTCGTAATATTCTCTCAACATGTCTCAAGGAAGCTATTATAGTTATTTATGTACCAAGTACGGAATTTTTTTTATTGTAGTATAGCTTACAAATTGATAAACGAGGCCCAGCTGAGACTAGCAAGCGGGTGAGACAATAGACAGATTTTCGCCGAGGTGCGTATTGAATTTTTCAGTCGACTTTTATTCACACCTCGGTCTTATTCACACATGCAATCTGTCGAATTGCGTAAATATTTAATTTGACAACAGCAAATGACAGTTTATGTTAACTAAATCGTTGCTCTTGCACCGTGCCGTATCTTAGTGACCACAGCGGACGAAAAGTGTTTGCGGACGAAAAGTTAATGTCTGCCGACGAAAAGTACTAACCTTCATGAAAAGACGATTTTCACGAGGATTTTTCATTCGAAATTTAGTACGTACGAATTGCGTAAATATTTAATTCGACAACAGCAAATGTCGGTTTATGTCAACTAAATCAATCCCACCGTGTCGTATCATAGTGACCACAGCGAACGGAAAGTGTTCGCGGACGAAGAGTACTTACCTTCAGGAATAGTCGATTTTTACGAGGATTTTTCATTCGAACTTTAGTAAGTAAAATCACTTTTCTACAAATGACATAAAAACTGACTTTTCAATGACACTTAACAGGCATTGAAGGTGTATTTTTGCTGCCTAAGTGGAGGGGCTACAGGGTTTCTGGCTCAAGCCAATCAGAGGCCAGCATTCAGTTTTAGGCTACGCCCACTAAACCAATCAGAGACCGGCTCGAAATTTAAATTATTCATGTGACATCATGTCGTCATCGTGAATAAATAAATTAAAAGCAGCTGTCGCCGCAGGGGAATTGAACCGGTGACCTTTGCATTATAAAGCAACGTATGTACGCAGCGTGGTATTCAGCCGCCATGATAATTCAAATATGTTAAAGCTATTCAAACAGGATATGTTGGAAAGTCTGTTGAGCTAGAGATCCGTTGTAGAGATAAGACGCTATTACATCGAAATAAGATTATGATGAAATATTCCTATGTTAGTTTTATCTACAATATACGTGTAGCACCAGATAAACTTCCGCTGATAAGAGGCGAAATAACAGGAAACGTTGGAGCTTATCAAAACCGCAACAATAACACATCGATGGCAAAAACAAGATTGAATAATCATGTACAGGGCGTTTGAGAAGAATGAAAATTTAAAAAATGCCACGGAAGCGTCACGGAAGTGTCACGGAAACGACACGGAACATGGAAATGTCATGGAAATGCCACGGAAATGCCACGGAAGTGTCACGCAAGTGTCAGGGAAGCGTCACGGAACATGGAAATGTCATGGGAGTGTCACGGAAAAGTTACGAAAACGTCACAGAATACACGCGCTAGCTGATGATTCCGATCAATATATAGAGCGTTTGAGTTGAATACCAATGAAAAAATATATAGGGGAACTCGCTGCAAAAACTGTCCTCTATTGGAGAGCCTAGCAAACAGATATTAGACGAATATTTCGAACAACTCTTAACCAAAACTCGTGAAAAAGATCTGTGCTCTACCAAAAAAGTATCAGCGAAATATGTCAAAATTTCATTACTAAAACTCGTAATGTAACGGGGCGCTAGAGGCTAGGGGCCTTAGGGATTAGCGATTACACGAAAAAAAAATGAACATGGCACAGAAAAATCATATTGCTGTCGACTACTCTACAAGAACGATTCTTATTATACCTATAATAGGTCTGAAAATTCCCTATATATCAACAAGATCAATGGGAAATCAGCGTGACGCAATCACTATCATTATACTGACAGGCAGCGTGAAAAAATAATATTATAGATATCTGGAAACCTTAAAATATACTAGACTAATAATGCTGAACATTCAACAATCAAGCTCAGAAGGCACATCCTTTCACCGTCCACCTTGGAATATATCGAAAAACTCTACCAAAACTCATTTAACAGCTTCTATGCGTCACTGAAGGAAAAACCCACGAAATATATCAAACAACTATTAACCAAAACTCGAAATGCAAGGGGGCGCTAGAGGCTTGGGGCGTTAAGGATTAGCGGGGATTAGCGATTATACTGAAAAAATAAACATGACATCCTTCAGACAGTAAAACATATACCTGTCAACTACTCTACAAGAAAAATTCTTCATAGACCTATATGCAAAGTTCGAAAATTTTTTAGATATCATCATACTCAGAGGCAGCAATAAAAATGATATGATAGGTATCTGGAAAGCTCCAAATATACTAGACTAATAATGCTCAACATTCTGGATCAAACCATCCAGCCCAGAAAGAACACCCTTTCACCGTCCACCTTGGAATATATCGAACAACTATTCACCAAAACTCATATAATAGCTCAGTGTTTTACCATAGGATGTACTCTGGTTGGTTCATGGAATATGTCAAACAACTCTCTTCCAAAACTAGCAATGTAAGGGTTAGTGACGTGAGGGATGTTTAGTGCGATGAGATGTAATCCGCCAGTAAGGAAAT